GCGTACCATCCTGCCTCCCTCCACTGCAGTGGGGCGCCCCCAGTCCCTGGCATACCGTAAGGCAGCCCTCTCTGCCCATTCCTCTGCTTCACACTGTGCCCCTGCCCCTCCCACCCTTCCTTGTTCTAAGTCCTGCTTGCTTTTCCCCAAGTCAGAGAAGTCCAGCTGAGTCCCAGTCCCGCCAGGGCTGAGAGGCTGAGCCCAGCAGCAGCCCTCGGTGGAGTGGGACGGGGAGAGTCGAGCTTAGCTCAGCTTCAGAGTCTTCCTCAGCCAAGAGCTCCCCGGGGTTGGATTGAGGGCCCCTCCAAGGCTCAGTCTGAGATCCCTGAGGCCCCCCTAAATTGGCATTATAGGTTCTTGAGCCTCCTGTAGGGTCGTCACAACCCTGCAGCCTCCTGGAAGTTCCCCGACCTGTAGCAGACTCGGCACCGCACTCTCAGACTCCTCACGGCTCGGCGCTCCATCCCTGAGCTGCAGCCCGGCCCGGCCCACATCCCTAAGAGCTGGAGCAGTGGAAGCGCTTTGTAAGCCATGGAGTGGTGGTGCACAACGATGGGGTGGGGTCCGGGCCTCACCTCCAGCCACCCGCGGTCGGCAGCGCCCCTCCTGAGCGTCGTACTCCTCCAGGTCGCTGGCGCAGAGGCACAGGAAGGAGCCCTCCACGTTCTCGCAGAGTGCCGCCCCGCATACCGCCAGCATGAGCTCGCACTCATTCACGTCTGCCAGGCAGGAGGACAGACTCGTGGGCAGAGGAGAGGCAGCCCAGGCACCCCTGCCCCTGCCTCAAGCCCAGCGGGCAGATCCTTGTCTCACCCCCCCGCAAAGAAACAGGCTAGGCCTTGGGGCAAGAGTGGAAGTGGGTATGAGTTAGCAGGAAGGAGGAACAGGTGGGCAGAGGGCACGGGAAGGAAGAGGAAGGAGAAGGGTGGCAGAAAAGAGTCCGCAAGTGGACAAAGAGGAAGGGTTCCTCCCTCTGCACGGCCCCCACATGTGCCTCTTGAGACCTTAGGGTCTCTGGGGAAGGGTGGTGACTTCACTAGTGTGCTTGCTTCCCCTGCTTGTTGAAGGTGGCCTCGCTTCCTTGACCAACCTGGCCAAGGTGCCCCTGTAGGGTGGAGCTGAAATCTCCCTCCCTTGCCACTCTATGAGGACCCCTTATGGAGCCTTGTTAGACCCTGAACATTTCAGGAGGAGGGCCCTAGGGCCCCTCTATGCAGGGCAGCCAAGATCTGTGGAGATGGGATCAAGGGCCCAAGGGCCTTCCCTTCCCTGGCTCAGGCTTCTCACCAATGCAGTCCCAGCCGGAGGGCGAGGTCTCGAAGCCCTGGTCACAGAGGCAGCGGAAGGAGCCGTCGGTGTTGTCGCAGAAACCGTGGCTCCCACACATGGTGTCGTTGGCACACTCGTCTATGTCTGTGGGTCAGGGGAGGCTACAGTGTAGGGTGTGCTCTCTGTTCGCTGGGAATTCTTATTTATTTGGTCTACTATCACCAAGATTTCTGAAAGCTAACTTCTGAATACAGGAAATGAAAACTCTAACACTGACATTCCCCTTCAATTTGTGTGTAAGCACTGCTGTGTGGAAAATACACAAACTTCAAACAGCTGCAAAAAATAGCTTCTAGCTGGATGCATGAAAAATAGGTGTCCTCAGGCTTCTCACCCTGGACACCTGCTCCCGACTCACCAGCACAGTCTCCAGTCGGGGCCACATGGAAGCCCGGCTGGCAGCCCGGGACACAGCGGTAGGAGCCGGGGCTGTTCTCACACCTCCAGCCCCCACACGCCGAGTCTCCCAAGTCCTCACACTCATCAATGTCTGTCCCCAGAGTCATGAGAGGGGACAGAAGTGGCCAGGTCACTACTCTAGCCCCACCTCTCTGGCATTAAAAGGTCATGCCCCACAACCTCTGGGGTCCTTGATCTGTTCCAAACTACTGTGCTCATGTCAACCCCCGAGCATCAAGTTCAGGATCATTTCCCCTGACCCGCAGGGCTGAGCATCTAGGAGGTGAGCGCTCTGCTATTTAGGAGAGCACTGAGCTCTCAGCCTCTGTGACACTCCTGTCCCCCACACCCTGCTCTCTACTTCTCTTTATAGAAAACCTTCCCCAAAGTGTATTATAGAGAGTCGTCTTCATATCTGTCTCCCTTGGTCAATTTCAAGGTGGTCCATAACTGTCTATTTGTTCCAGCAAAAGACATTAAACCCAGGTGGTGTTTAATAAATATCTGTTGCATCAGTTCAGCTTTAAAAACTAGATTGTGTGCTCTGCTAGCACAAGGACATCCTGAAACAGTCCCTGAGTCAGCAGAGGCTCAATAAATGCATTGGATGATTAATCTGTGGAAAGTTCTCTGCTTCCCGGAAGCTGGGGGTCCAGGTCCCAGGGAGCTGAGGAGGAGGCAGAGTGGAGGGGACAGACGTGGGGAGGGGCCCCGTTCACTCCCCCCAGAGCCCTTACCCACACACTCCCCACTCTCTGCGGAGGGCTGGAAGCCAGTCTTGCACAGACAGTTGAAGGAGCCCTCAGTGTTGACACACTGCCCCCCAAGACACCGGTCAGTGACTGCACACTCGTCCACATCTAGAATAGAGACATCTGTCAGCAGGACCAGCCATGGGTCTCCAGGGCCCTGTGCAGCTTCTTCTGGGCCCTGAGGAGCCCATAGGAGGGCGAGGGAGTGGCTAGAAGTAGGAAAGTGCTGGAAGATCTGAGGGAGAGTCCAGAGCTGGAAGCCAGAGGCCCGACTGGGGGCGGAGCCCTGGAACTGGGGCTGTGTCAAGGGGAGAGAGGGTGAGGGGCACCTGCCATAGACACCATGGAGAGGCCCTGGAGGAAGACTGAGTCCCTCCTGACATCTGCCTCCCATTTCATCACTCAGCCTCCTATCTTCCCATCCTGGGTGGGACCGTGAGCATTTTATTTCAGTACTCTAGATAGCCTCTAGCACCCCCTGCTGCTGGCTCCTCACCCTGGCAGCTGGCGCCCCCCTCTGCGCTGGCAAAGCCGGGGGCGCAGAGACAGAAAAAGGACCCGTGGCTGTTGAGGCATTCGCCACGCGGTGCGCAGTACTCCTCTCCCACGCACTCGTCCACGTCTGTAGGGAGAAGATGGGCTGTGCTGTCTCCCAGGGACGCTCCCGCCTCCCCGCGCACTCTGCCCCCGTCCCCGGTGGGGAGACCTGAGCCACTCACCCTCACACACGGTGCCATTGGCCAGCTGGAAGCCCGGGGGGCAGAGGCACTGGTAGGAGCCAGCCGTGTTCTTGCACTCACCTCCCAGGCAGCTGCTCTGGGGGTCTTCACACTCATCCACATCTGCAGGGTCACACAGGGAGGAGGGCAGCCGATGGCAGCACCTCCCAAGGGCAGGAGCCAACGGGGAGGTCTCCAGAGGACCTGGCACCTGCCTGAGGAGACTGGACCCATAGGGGCATCGTTCCCTTGTAAAGCAGCACAACTGGGAGAAGCCGGCAAGGGAGCCTTTGGGGAGCCGGATAACTGCAGCTCCCTCCTTCTGTCCCAGCTCCCCCGCCTCTGGCAGCTCACACAGTGCCCACCTTGGGGACAGTTGGCCTATCCCAGCAACCCTGGCCTAGGGTGGCCAAACCCCACTGCCCTCATCTTGGCTGAGATGGCCGAGATTTCACTGAGAAACAATGGGAAGGCAAATGAGAAATAAGCCGAGGAAGCAGATACAGAGAACCTGAGAAGGTAACAGAAACTAGATTATTATTATTTTTCTTTTTTTGGAGAGGGGGAACGCGGGTCTCTCACTGCTGTGGCCTCTCCCATTGTGGAGCACAGCCTCCGGAAGCGCAGGCTCAGCGGCCATGGCTCACGGGCCCAGCCGCTCCGCGGCACGTGGGGTCTTCCCGGACCGGGGCACGAACCTGTGTCCCCTGCATCGGCAGGCGGACTCTCAACCACTGCACCACCAGGAAAGCCCAAAACTAGATTATTTAAATTGGCCTACAGATTGCCTGGTACAGGCCAAGGTTTTTCAGAATATGGTCCCAGCACCCACCCTTACAAGGAACCCTTGAGGACCTTGTTAGATGACAGACCCCAAGGGCCCCTGACAGAGGTGGATTTAGTAGGTCTGGGACAAGGCCCCAGGAAGCTGCCTGTTGAACAAACTCGCCCAGAGATTCTGACACGCATTGAAGCTTGTGATCCAGTGGCTCAGTGGTCCCCTAGACCCAGATCTGCGGTCGCCTTTCCAACTACTGTTGGGGGAGGAGCAAGAACAGGTGTCCCCAGCTGGCCCACCATCTGAGGTGAGCGCCCTTCTCTAAGGGTGATGGGTTAGTCTGCGCTTTTCTCCCGCACAGCGGGGCGGCCTCTCACGTCACAGGTGTGGCCCAGGGTGCTGGGCCGGTAGCCCCGCTCGCAGTCGCTGCAGGAGAAGGAGCCGGCAGTGTTGGTGCAGACTCCCGAGGGGCAGACTCCCAGAAGGGCACACTCGTCTAGGTCTGGGGCAGACAGCCAGCCAGTCACCCGGGGGCCTAGGAGGCCTCCCTCCACCTGGTGAGGCAGGAAGCACCCCACGCCTCTGGCTTCTTCTCTGAGCTTATAGGACTTTCTGGCGGTCCCTGGGGAAAGGGAGGCCCTGGCTGTGAGCCTTCTGTAGGGCAACCCCAGTACCCTCTCCCCAGGATGCTCCTGGGGCAGCTCTACCGTCAGCTTCCCTCTTGCCTCCGTGACTCCCTTTTCCTCCTGTACTCATGGAGGAGGAAATAGAAGCTGTCCCTGGGGCCAAGTCCGTTCACAGGGTCCTCTAGCCTAGCCTGGAGGCCCTCGGCATCAGCCCCAAGCTGGGGGACAAATGGAGTGTTCTTTGAGAGGTAAGAGGGCCTGTGTTCTCAGTTCCTCTCTGCCATCCCCCCTCCCCCGGGTTACCTTCACAGGCAGTGCCGTCCTCGTTCACCCAGTACCCACTCTCGCAGGCCGAGCAGGTGAAGGAGCCCTCCGTGTTGAGGCAGAGGCCCGCGGGGCACGAGGCCCGGCTGGCACACTCGTCAACATCTGAAACAGGCCATTGAGCTCTGTGTGGGGCTCTGCAGGACAGACACACCAGGCTAGCCAGAGACCAGTGGGGCGGGAGTGGGGCAGGGTGGGGGAAAGGACGGGTCTCGCAGCCACATGTTGGGTCAGCATGCTCAGGGATGCGGGGCCAGAGGGAGGGAGCTGCAGGCTGACGTGCTGTGGACAAAGCATGCTTCAGATCTTCTTTGTACCTTGGCAGCCCTTCTCGTCTGAGGTGACCTCGTAGCCCGGCTCACAAGAGCATCTGAAGGAGCCCTCCAGGTTGATGCACGTTCCATGGGTGCAGACCCCAGGGGTCAGACACTCATTCACATCTGCGGGAGAGAAGTCCAGGATGGTGGGCTGGCCTCATCTCCCTCACGCAGCCTCCATCATCAGGCTGAGAGCATCTCAATTACGAGGCCAGGGAATCAGCATTCAGAGGGGCCATGGGCACCCTGGGAAGGGCATGAGGTCCTTCCTGTTCCTGGGCCCACCTACCTAGACAGGGTACCCTTCTCCCCTGACCTCACTTCCCCCTCCCGAGCTCACTTCAGCTCTATCTAGTGACACAGAGCATCTTGCAAATTCCTAGAAAAGGGGGCCAGGTCCCCCAGCCCTGGGACTGGTTTGGCCCATCTGAGGACACCTGCAGTCAAGTGTCTAAGACCCTTGACTCACCTTATAGTGAGTCTGAACCTCTCTGGTCTCCTACCCACCAACCAGACTGACATTATCTCATGTTCCCAGCCCACCCACCAGGTTCAATAGGTGAGTGGGCAACGCAGAGAGAGGGCAAGTTATGCCTGGGTGGCTGAGTGGCAGTCTCAAGGGCCTGGGAAATGTCTGCCCTCTCCAGAGCCTCAAAGCGTCTATTCACAACTCAGTCCCTCCTGGCATTCTGAACCCTGGGCCCTTCGTCCTGCAGGGGCTGAGGGGAGAGAGCATTCCTCCTACAGATGACATGCAGCACCCCTCCCCCCAGGGGGAAGAGCACCCGCTGCTCAGTTAGGCTTGCTGTTAGACACTGAGACATTGAGATGCCGAAGAGCAGAAGACCACTCCTCCCTGGGAAACACACCACTGGTGTCAGCCTCTTCCAAAGACGCTTGGTATCTCACTCTACCTAGCAGGATCCAGCCACAGAAGCCGCTGCGACCTTGGGCTGTAGCCCAAGGATGGATATGGCCAAGGAGCTGACAGGCACCCCCCACCCCCGGCTGATTCACAGGGCAGAGCACCAGTAACTGAAGCACACCCATCTCAGCCCCAGCGTCATCTGGGAACCCAGCCAGGTCATGGAGGACAATAGCCTCCAAGTCACTTCCCTCTGCCCACGCCTTCCCCTTCCTGTTGTGGGCTCATCCAGGGGTCCCAAGGCCAAACAGCCCCCTCAGTGCCTTGGCAAGCAGCCCTCACCTACACAGCTCCCACTCTGGCCCCTGTAGCCCTCCTCGCAGGGCAGGCAAGTGTAGGAGCCAGGGGAGTTGACGCATCTCCCGTCAGGGCAGGTGCCGGGGTGATGGCATTCGTCGATATCTGCAAAATAACAGCCCCGCCCCCCTTGGTCATCTCTGCAAACCGTGGCACATGGGTGGGCTGTGAAGAAGCAAATCCTTGACGCTGCCCTTGGCTGGGGAGAAGGAGGGATGTCAGTTTCTGTACTGATGGAAACTAGGAAAAAGTGAGTGCTGTCCTGTGTTCCCAACCCCACCTCCCGTCCACTGTCCTGGACAAAAGAGAGATGGAAGACCTATAGGAAGGGAGACTCCCTGGTGAAGGAGGCTGCCCTTCCACTAGCTAGGGGAGGGTGAGAGAGCTTGAATTCATGAGCTGGACTCTTGGGAAGGGCCTTCGTATCTCCCTTGTTCCTTTACAAGGGGTGACAATGACGTGCCTGGACGTGCTTGGCAGATCCCAGAGGCCCCAGAATAGACCCCAGCTGGGCAATGAGGGCCAAATGGGCTTCCCTGCACCAGGAAATGAGGACTGAGGATGACCCCCCAATCTTAGATGTGGCCAAGACCAGCCCTGAGGCTGATGCAGAGTGAAGGGTGGAGCCTGGCAAGGCTTCTCAGCTGGAGAGACTTTTCTTCTAGCTGAGAACCACATAGAGCTCCAGCACCCACTCTGCTGAGATCCAGGGAAGTCAGCCAGAAAGGACAAGTAGGGGAAGGGGTGATCCATGGAGAGAGAGAGCAGCCAGTCCTGGGAGAGTGACAGGGAGCGGGAGGGTGAGCTTTCTCCCAGGAACTGCATGCAGGGCTCTTCCCAGTGTGAAGCTTGCATATTGGGGAGTCCACCATCCAAGGCACCAGGCGACCTGGGCTGAGTTAGGGATCCCTGTAACACAGGGGTTGAACTCTGGGTCAGGACTGCAGGAGGACATTCTGCTCCTCTGGCCCAGTGTCGAGGCTCCCAGTCACTATTCATGACAGACAGATTGACCGAGCGCCAGATTTACCCTCCCTATGTGGATAACTGTCATTCTCCTGCAGGGAGGCCACTAGTTCATGTAGATTCAGAGGCCCTACTGCCCAGGAGGAATACCTACTCAGCACCCATGGAGGAAAGAAAGGCAGGAGGCAGGGCCAAGGGTCAGAACACAGGCTTTCTGCAAAGGGACTCAAGCCAGCAGCTGTCATAATAGAACAGGACATGGGCCCGGAAGTGGAGGGTGAATATGAATCTCCTCTGAGGTTGTTTGGTCTACAGAAGACCGGGTACATCAAAGCCCTCTGTCCCAGGGAACCAGGTACCTCTCAAGGTCAAAACTTCACCCTGAGGGTCCACATGAGGAAGACATACACAGGGCAGGTGGTTTTTCAGGTTGTGTGTGTAAGGAGATACCCAGAACTGCCGGACAATCTTGGGGACACTGAGATAAGGCTCACCTCTGGAAAGAGGGCAGCCAAGAGCCCCTAGCTGGGCTGTGGTGACACCAGGCTAAGCTATTCTAAGGGCTTCTGTGAAGACAGAGATGGAGAGAATGAGACAGAGGTGGAGGAAATGAAGGTCCTAGGGCCACCAACTTTGGCCAGCACCATGGCCCACTGGCCTTGGCTGAGGTACCAAAGGAAAATGGGCAAAGCCATTGGGAATTATCCACAATTCCTGCTTCAGGGATGCGAGACTCTGGGATGAAGAGAAAGAATGAGGCAAGGATCCTCCTCTAAGACCACACTGAGGAAAAATGGAGTCTTTGGACTCCTCAGGCAGGATAGGAAGGAGATTAGATTTACCAGGAGCAAAGGGCCCTGAGGTCTGCCCTGCCCCAAATGTTCTGGGCACATCTGTGGAGGTGGTGCCCAAACTGTTTCACACCGGGCATTAGGAGACTTGCAGGATGAATGCTGTTCACTTAGAATTCCAGCTCTCCACTTCTGGGCCATGGTGGGCTTGTGCCTCCTGGTCCCTTGTGGTTGGATGGGGCCAGGGGACTAGTGCTGGCCAATAGCTATGACGTGTGTAATTCGTGGGCCCAAACGTTTATTTGTGTGCAACCCTGCAGAATGCTCTTTCTTTCTTCCATGAACACTGGCCACATTCAAGATGCTGGCTATTCCTTTAGCCAGGTTCTAGGGTGAGGAAACATGGGGCAGGATGTTTCCTCATGATGGACATGTGGCCTTGGTCAGATATCAAGTTTGTGGTGTCCTAAATCACTAAGGTTGAGGTTGGTTGTTAATGTAGTATAACCTGGCCTATCCTGGCACACCCACCACTGGCACACCTGGCACACCTTCCTCAGACCAGAGCCCCAGCCAGCGATGATCATGTGCGAGAGGTCTGTCAGCAGGTGAGAGAGAGGGCAGAGGGTCAAAGCAGCCCACAGTCTCCACCTGAGCCAGGGCAGGCCTCTTCTAAGTGGGGGTGGATATAACGGAGCCACTAGCCTAGCCGATTAAAGGAGCCAGATAAAGATTCTGGATGAAGTGGGTTCCATGTTAAAGGCACAGGCTCTGATGTCACCAGATATCTTGAGGCTGTTCCACCAACCTCTTGGTGCCTGGAGCCAGATTTTTCTGCCTAGTCTAGGGTTTGAATTTTAATCTAAGCTTATGGTATGCTTTGGTAGCTTTTACCCTGGTCCTCTGTGGGCAGGAGCTGTCTGTCTTTTTATTGCTATATTCCTAGCCCATGGCTGGGACCCAGCTGGCACTCAACAAGTGTTTGCTGACCAAAGAATGAGGCCATGTGACTAACTAAACCTTCACATCCTCTTGGTATGAGGCTGCTGAAGAGATCCCAGAAGACCCAAGGAAACAGTCACCCCAGGGACCAGCTTGCCAGCCTGCTGTCTGTACACTGGGAGGATCCTGGAGCTTCTCTAACCAGCACTGCAGCCTCTGCGTGAGGAAATGTGAAGGTGCTGCCTCTGTTCCTTGTGAGAGCACAGGGTGGGGAGGGTGCTCACTCAGGTGCCAGACGCTCAGGTGACCTTGGACGTGGGTGGGGACAGCAGAGCCCTGGCAGTCTGCAGGGGAATCTAACCCCTTTCCATGGGAACCCAGAGTCCTGGTACGATGGAAATGCCATCGAGACTTTGGATGGGCTGCTGTCCAGACCACTCAGGCCTTTCACCAGATACTTTAAGTTTAAGTGGAGAGAGTGGTTTCTTAGTTGGAAGAAGAAGAAAGAGGAGAGGAAATTCACTGGGCTCTCGGGGTGATGGGCCGGGTCTGTGGTTATGGATGGAAACCTGGAGAAGCGTGCGGGCTACATCCGTTTTTCTCTCAGCAGACTCAGAGTGTCTGCCCTGGGCCAGGAACTCAGCCTGACCTCCCAGCCGAGGAGTGTGTCTGGAACCTGGCGTTGAGGGGAGATTAGACGTGCGAGAGAATGGGTCCTCAGACAGTAGTGCCGCCCCCTACTCGCTGAGGGGCTGCATGTGCGCTTTGTATGTGGCAGGTTATTCAGTCCTCACAAGAGCCCCTGAGATGGGCATTATGGTTTCCATTTTCAGACATTGAGACAAGAGCCAAACCCAGGCCTGTCTCCGCCAGAGCCTGTGCTCTTGCACGGACTGGTTAGTATAAATTTGATATTTTTAATGTCCTGGTATTTTTCTTAGTTCGTTTCCTTTAGTTTTGCTTTACTTTTTAACAAAGTCTAATGCCAAATTAATAATGTTCGATGCTTAAATGAGGCAGTCTATCAGATCCCTAGCACAGCACCTGGCACATAGCAGGCAAACATCAAATGCTAACTCCCTTCACTCTCCCTTCTCCCGGAACATGCCAGAATGTCTGTTCCCAGTAAGTTAGTGAGGATAAGGGAAGTGGATTCAGGTTTGGATCATAAGTGGGCCTGAGTTTAAACGGGGAGGCATTGAGAGGGGAAAGTAACGCGCCAGGGATGCAGGCAGAGCATTGTCTGTCTCCCCTTTGCCAAGACCTGCCAGGGCTCTGGACTCTGCTTCTGTGGTAGTGGCATTGGGAAGGGGGTGGGCTCCCTTCACCAGACACAGAAGCTCATCTCTCACCTCTAGGACCCTCTGAATCCTGGCCCGGGGAAACCTGGAGGCAGGGAGGCATCAGGGCCTAACCTTGGATCCAGGGCAGGACTTCTTTCCAGAGAGAGCCTGGATTCCCCCTCACCCCTTCCTGTCTCAGCCAGTCTTGGGAGCACATGACCCAGGCCTCTTGCAAGCATCTGAAACCCCCAGCCTGGCAGCGGGGTGGAAGTGGCAGGGCTGCCAGGAGCTGACATGACGGTGGCAGGTTCAAGCCAGTCTGTGAGGACATCACTTGGCAATGACACAGCCAACTTATGGCAGGGCCTAGGAAAGGGGGCCAGGATGAGGGCTTATTTGTTCATTTATTCCACTAGCATTTGTTGGGGTGTCCAACACATGGACATTTGTCAGGTGTCCATGTATGGTCATCTAAGGATATGGTCCAGCTCTGAGGAGCTCACAGCCTTAAAGCTTTAGCAAGTAGGCCAAGCCCAAGGCCCCAGGCACCTCCCAGATAGATCAACCTTCCCTCTGCCGCATGACTCAAGGTGAGGGGCAGAGGTGCATGGAGGGGTGCTCCCGGGATCTCATGTACATAAAGTTACTGTGCTCCGTGCTGCCGGGACAGACAGGATGTCAAAATCCCACTGAGGGGACAGAAGGGCTCCAGAATCCACAGATAGGTCTCTCTGTGCGCAGGAGGGGGCTCGGCATCAAGGGGCCCAGTCGGGGATAAGCTGGAAGGGGAGCTGGTGGTGGGCAGTGCCCGGGGAGGGGCCAGGAGAGGGTAGAGCGGCACCCCATTCCTTACCTTGGCAATGGCCCTTCCTGACCATCATGTAGCCCTGGTCACACTCGCAGTGGTAGGAACCCTCCGTGTTGGTGCACCGCCCCCCGCTGCACACCTCGGGCTGCCCACACTCATCTATGTCTGTAAACACACAGAAAAGTCCTGAGTTGGGGCCAGCCCTGCAGGGGGTCCTGGGACATCTGTTCAGAGGCCAAGGCCAAGGACACCCATGCTGAGGCCCAGGCAGGGAAGGCATCCTTGCTGCAGCCATGAATGGCCAGGTCTGAGACTGACCTAGCTCAGGCCCCTGCAAACTCCTGAGTTCCTTTCTCCTGGAGGGGACGGCTACTTTGGGGGTCCATGGGGACTCTCACAGCTGTCTCCTTACCCCAGTGCAAGGGCTGGTCTTGAGGTCAGGTGGCTGTGCCTATGGCACTATCTAAGGAAGCCAACGAAGTTCCCCTCTTGACCCCAATAAATCCCCCAGAAGTCTGCTCCTAGAGTTCCTAGGGGCCTTCCTAAAGGTTAGGGATTGGAATTCCCTGGTGGTCCAGTGGTTAGGACCAGGACGGTGCTTTCACTGCCAGGGGCCCTGGTTCGATCCCTGGTCAGGGGAACTAAGATCCCACATGCCACGTGGCATGCCCCCCACCCACACACACACAAAATAGGGTTAGGGATTAAGTAGCCAGTGAGAGACAGCATCTTAGGCAGCTGTGGATCTGTCCATTTGGTTTCTGCCATTGTCCCAAAGCATAATGGTGCCCTGTCATGGCTTGAAAGCCCAAGCCTGGTTATGCCCCTCCCCTGCTGGGTTCCCTGCTGCTCAGCCTGCCTCACAAGGCCTCACCCCAGCCTTGCTGTGTGTGCTGATCCCCACTGGTCCAGCCTCCAAGCCTTTGTTCACACAAATGCCTCTGCTTGGTTTGATGGCCAGCAGAGCCCTACTCCCATTCCAAGGATGGGTTCAGGGCTTCCCTGGTGGTGCAGTGGTTAAGAATCCACCTGCCAATGCAGTGGACACGTGTTCAATCCCTGTTCGGGGAAGATCCCACATGCCGCGGAGCAACTAAGCCCGTGTGCCACAACTACTGAGCCTGCGTGCCACAACTACTGAGTCTGCATGCCACAACTACTGAAGCCCGCGTGCCTAGAGCCCGTGCTCAGCAACAAGAGAAGCCACTGCAATAAGAAGCCCGTGCACCACAACGAAGACCCAATGCAGCCAAAAATAAATAGAATAAAGATAAATTTAAAAAAAAAAAGGGTGGGTTCAATTTATCAACTCTAGGTCACTCTGGCCACTCCCCATTCCCTGCCCCCCACAGTCAAATTAATGGAGGACTCACCCTTGCCCCAACCCGTAACAATGATTCAAACACTTCACAGAGGCTTTGTGCAGATGAAATGAGATAATCCAGGTAAAGGGCGTAGCACAGTGCCTGCCTGACACAAGGTGAGCACTGAAGAAATGTTAGCTATTATTATTTTTATTCTAGCATTAAACCTACTCTATAAAATCCAAGCTCCTCAGCCTGGCATGTGAGACCTTTTGTGACCTAGCCCTGCCTGGTTCTCTCACCTGGGTTGCTGCTTCCCACATGCCTCCTTCTTTTTCTTTTATGGTCAAAATTTTTATGTCAAAAACTTATAAATGTTTGGTATTCGTCCACATACAATTCAGTTTTTGGTGTAAAGTTCTTTGGCCTCAAGAAAAAACACTTGGTTTACTTCCCTAATAGGAATATCTCTTAATGCTGAGATGGGTTCTTCTTGGCATTTCTTCTGCTGTTGATTTCTGGCATAGTTATCTGTGATTGCATGAATGGAGTTGAGTGGAGAGGTACTCATCATGCTTATCCCAAGTAAGAGCACATATAGTAATCACATGATTACTATAGTAATGAGGAGGTACACAGGCAATACAACTGCTCGATGTTTTTGAGGCCAACAGGATAAGCCTAAGGAGTTTAGCCTAAGGAGCTTCTGCACGTGCTGTTCGCTCTGTGGCTTCCCACCCACGAGCTTGGCTGTTTCCTTCTCATCTCTCAGTGAGGCTGCCCTCACCCCTCTAACCCATATGGCCCTTCCCAGGGTTCCCTTAGGAATCAACCCTTATATTGAATAGTGACTGCTTTTTTTTTTCTCCCAGACTGCTGAGGATGTGCCTTATTACCCTAGTGTCCTTAGTACCTAGCCCAGACCCCTGCAAAGTACTTATTGCATGAATGGAATAGTAAGCATTTGTTTACAGACATGAGCAATACTTTATGACACTTTAGTGCATAGTGGAGTCACTGGCAGATGGTATAAAATGTACACTCCCAGGCCCACGTGCAGAGATTCTGATGCAGCAGTACTGGGCGGGTCCAGGAACCTGCATTTTAATAACTCTCCAGGCAATTCTGAAATAACTGGTCCTCCCTTTGGGAAGCTAAAGAGAACCTGATAAAGGACCCACAAATTGGTAGGGCCAGGATGACTGCCTGATAGATAAGCCTGGGAAAGCTGACTTGTTCTATGGAGAAAAATGGAAATGGAAAAGACCTGATCTTAACACCCATGCAAGGATGGACTCCAGTTGGATTAAAACATGTCTTGAAAGGCAAAACTGTAACTTTAATGAAAGAAGGTATAGGAGAATATCTTTGTGAATTAAGAGTGGGGAAGGACTTGTTAACTAAAGTTCCCAAAGCATAAAAAATAAGACAAAAAGGTGAATTTCAATACATCAGAATTAATGATTTCTGTTAAAGAAAGGACATGTGGATAAGGTCAATGGACAGAGGACAAGGTGGAAGAGTTGTCATATCTAAACCCAGGCAAGTATCTGGAATCTATAAGGAACTCCTAAAGAGCCACAAGGAAAAGCAGCAAAGACCACTGGAAAAGAGAGCAAAAGATAAGAACAAGCAATTTCTAGATAAGGAAACCCAAAGGCTCATATATGAAAAGATGCTCATAGATACTAGTAAAGTAAACGTTATTTTAAATATTTAATATTCAAATAATTTATCTTAATCAATTATTTATATTTATATTAATTTCAATTCTAGAAATTGTAATGCCTTCTATTAATTAATTATATAAATTAATGAAATAATTTATAAATAAGAATAAAGTAAATATTTAAAATAAGGAGATATTGTTTTACCAGAGCAGCAAAATTTAGAAAGCGGATGTTATCCTGGATGAGGCCTCATCACACCGCAGCCAGACCCCACTGGGAGAAGCTCTGACAGCTGACCTTGACCTTCCTGCCTCCTCCCCCAGCTGTCGGGTTGGCAGAGACATCCGGACACCCAGGCTGGCACGAGGCAGGACCCTTTGTCTGGGCCAGTCCTGGCGACACCCTTCCCTTCAGCAGCCACTGCTTGTCCCAGGCCAGCATCGTGGGCTGGGCCTGCAGGGAGCAGTGTCTCTGGCCCACGACACTTGCCAAGGCTGCGAAGCCCAGAGAAGCCCCTTGCTCCCGGCCTCTGCCGTTGATAACTCCAGACTGTTCTGAGCACTGCTGCCTGAGTCATCTCCCTGAAAGCTGGCTGACCGCATCGCCGCCCTCTGCTTACAAACCTCTATTGGCTGCCACTGTCTGCGGGACAGCAACCAAGCACTTCAGCCTGGCACTCAAGACACTTCGCAAACTGGCGACGGCTCCTGACACTTCCTCTGCATACCCCGCGCTCCCATCACACTGGATTTATCATTATTCCCAGAGCACGCCAGGCTTGTTCATTGCTCTGCCCTCTGCAGGAATGGTTCCGTTTCCCCGAAATACCCTCTGCTCCCTCCTTTCCTTCACCGTGTGTGTAAGGGAAGGTGTTGGACGCAAACCATGTTTTGGGGCCAGGGTGACTTTGATTCTGTTTCCAGCTCTGCCACGGCTCTAGGTGTGAGGTCTCTGGGTGGTTCAATTCACCTCTCTGAGCCTCAGTTTGCTAAACTGTAAAATGGGGATAAGGATTTGTGCTGCATGGGGTTGGGCTGATGACCTTCAGAAATAAAGGGCTTAGGATGGTGCTGCCATATGAGAAGTGCTCATTAAATGGTAGTCGTTATTATTCTGTCCCCGCTCAAACACCCCTTTGGGAAACCTTCCCACATTCCTCCATACAGAACCAATGCTTCCTTATCCCACAGTGCCAACATTCACACCTCACTCATTGCCGTAACCCTAGAGCTCACACAGTGCCCAGGCCAGAACCAGCAATGTGAGCCCCAAGAACAGCAGTGTCATTCTCTAGGTGAAGGATTCCAACTCGGTTATGGATCTTACGGCACTGCTCGGAAAGTGCTGCACCCTATTCTCTATAGTTCATAAAAAAGTATGTGGAGTGTTTCATATGTGGTATAAATGCCAAATATTAAAGGGCCTTTGTTGGAAGCATCTTTGTCCAGCGGCCCCATGCAGAGCTTCCCAGGGAAGCTTAAAGCCTTACAGGCATTTCTCAGCAAAGGCAAGCCTGCTCCCAAGGCTGCCTGGAGTCCCAGTTGGTGTCGTCATGGGTCACCCTCTTTATCCAATAGGAAAGAAGCTCCTTGTCACTCAGGATTTGGGGACCTGGTTTTTCGTCTTCATCTCCAGCCATGTCCCCAGACCCCTCACACTCTTGGCTCCAGTCACAGTTCCTTGGAGCGTTGGTGAATGTTGCTGCCTTTCAGATTCCTACTCCTCCATCTGGTCTCAGCGACCTCAGCCTCAGTTCAGGGTCTGCTTCCTCTCAGGTCCAGGTTAGAGCCCTGGTCTTGGCTCCTGCGGCCCCCGTACTCCCCACACTCTGCAGCTCTGTCACTGGGTGCTGTGAATGCCTAGATCCTCTTCCACCCCAACACTACCTGTGCGGTCCTGTGCCCCTCCCAGGGGCAAAGGTGGCTCACCTTACCTTGGCATTCCCGTGTGGCCCCCGAGGTGGCCAGCGTGTAGCCAGGGTAGCAGAAGCAGGAGTAGGAGCCCATGTGGTTGACACAGCGCCCCCTTCCCTTACAGGGGTCTCTCAGACACTCATCATCATCTGAGCGGAGGGAGGTGAGAAGGACAGTCAGGGAGGCATTCCTTTGGGCACCTGCCAGCCACCTGCCATGCTAAGGACTGGACAGGGAATGGTGCTGTGGGGCAAGGAGGGGATGAGGGAGCAGAAGAGGCTGGGGAGTTGAAAACTCTCTAAGGCTGAGGGCCATGAAGTCGGTTCATTGGGCCCATTCAAGAACCAAGGGCCTGGGGCAGTGTCCCCGCACCTCCCCCCTGCCCTGTGTCCCCCTCCGCCAGTGGCCCGCTGATAACTTCCTTTCTCCTTCAAGGCACAGTGGATGTGTCTCCCTTGTATAAAAATACTGGGGGAGTGGATGAGGCCCACACTGGGTGATTTATGTGTTATGCCTCCGAACCTCTCCCCCAGGGATGGCTGTGGCTTCAGTCTGCTATGCAGACAGCAAGATGGCCAGTTTGAGGGGTGGGCTGATCTCAGAGCTGAAGGCTCCAAGTACCAGTCAGGGGACCCTGGGGTGGCTTCCCATCCTCCTGAAGTCCTGGGGACTCATCAGATGGTGCTCCCAGAGACCGCTCTCCCTGAGAGCGTCTCCCCGAGAGGTTAAGGTTAGCTTTGTCCATAGGGATTGCTCTCCTCAGTCCATCCACCACACAGCACTGCTCGGGCTTTTGGCTGCCTGGACTCTGGACTGTCCTCCAGCCCTGCCTCCACCCACCCCAGCCACTGAGTGAGCCCAGGCTGCCCATGTGGATACCTGTGCAGTAGGCCTGGCTGGGATGCAGCCGGTAGCCGGGGCTGCAGATGCATCTGTATCCATCAGGGAGGTTCACACAGGTTCCCGAGCCACAGATGTTGGTGGCTCTAGCAGCACATCTGTCAATGCCTGTGGGTGATGTAGCAAAGCAGAGGTTATGGTGGGGTGCGGATGGGTGAAGGCAGTGGAGTGGGGTGGGAGCAGGGCACACGGGCCTCGGAGGACCACAGAAGCCTCACCCCAGCCTTAGCTGGGCCCTCCCACATCCACGTATAGCATGGCCTGTGTAAGAACCCACGGCACCTCCTCCCGGGGCCCCGAGCCCTACCAGGATGGAGCTTGCAGCACTGCATCCCTCTGACCGAGACCCAGGGGGTTCCAGTAACCTGTGTCCTGCGTCCCAGCAAAGGGGCTCCCCTGCTGAGGCCTCCAGCCTGACCTCACCCTGAATACGGGGACAGCTCTCATCCACAGCGAGTGCTTCCCTTCCCTGGCAACTCCTGACCAATTTTTCCTAGGCAGACAGACAGTTCTGGTGACGGGGGTCTTGGGACAACTGCCAGGGGAAGAGGGGAGAGGTGGGCGCAGGCTAACTGAGCAGGGCCTTGAGGGCCATGTTGAGACAGGCCTGTAAGCAAGGGGGTCATGGGAGGTGGGGTGTGATCAGAACTGTCTCAGAAAGACCACGCATCTTGCATGTCATCTTGTTCAGAAAGGCAGCAAGATGGCAGATGGACTGGGGTGGGAGGGGAGGCACAGAGGGCCCCTAGAAACCTGTTGAAATGAATTAAACAAGGACTGCCTTGGGTGGTGGTAATGGGTAAAAATGGGAGATGGAAACTGAATTCAGAAACAGTTTGGAGACTCACCAGGACTCAGGGCTGAGGCTGCATAGAGAGCAAGAGATTACAGGTCTTTTGAACTGTGTCCATAATACCAGAAAAGTACCTGGCACTTAAAACATGCCGAATGAACAAATGACTGAGTGAATGAGTGATGCTCTCACTCCAGGTCTCAGCCAGAAGCCCATACACCCACGCTCCCAGCCCTGCCCCACAGCACTGAGGGAACCCCAGAGACCCAAGGAAATGGGTCAGGATGTGGCCTGTGGTGGTGCACAGCGGGGCTTCACAGCGTTTGCTAAATTGGACTGAACTGAACGTGCACACCGGCCTGTTTGTCGGGCTACCCTGCCCCTGGCCTGGCTCCAAGTTTGTGTCAGCCTGGGGGCTCAGGAGGACCTCCAGCCAGGTTCTAAATGTCCTCCCAGAGGGGTGGGGTTGGGGGATGGCAAGGGGGAAGGGGGATCAGGCAAAAGTCTATAGATTGTGGGAGGGATTCTGTCCCCACATAGCTGAATCCCCAGCTGAGCCCCTTAACCCAGCTCATCTTGCCTGCTGAGAGGAGGGGGGCCGAGGACACTCCTTGGAGCAGCGCACTGAGCCCAGAGAAGAGGGGTCCTGGGGGAGGGCAGCAGGGACGCCCTGGTTCAGGCCTAGGAAGGCCAAGCTCCCAGCCCCACCCACACTCTCTGGACTGTTCCACCAACCTGCAGGGTCTCTCCCTCTGCTGCAGGAGATCTGGAAATACCCCTCACCCCAAGGTGACCTCAGTCTATGAGGTTACAAGCAGCAAGGCCCTGATGAGGACGCTCGTGGGAACACACGTGAGCACACACGTGAGCAGGGAACAGCTGCAGCAACACCGGCCCTGCTTCTCTTGAACCAAGTCCCCAGACAACGAGCCTTTGAGGAGGGTGCATTCCAGAGCAAGGTGGATGTGCCGGGGATCTCCCCCATACCACCCCGCAACCAACGCAGCGGCCAGAACCTGGGGAATGCAGGCTCCAGGGCAGCTAAACAACTTTGAGGAATAGAACTATTTTCCTTCCCTAAAGTCGGCCCTCCCTGTGGGCAGGAGGCTGCCCACTGCCAGGGTACTCAGCTGACTCAGGGTCAACAGCCTGGAAGAGCCAGGCTCCCAGAGGCCCCATGTGCTCGCCTTCCTTGAGAAGGCCCCGTGGATTCTCCTGGAAGGCACCCCTTCTCTTTCTCCTGCCTGGCTTGACCGGTGCTCCAGATAGGACTCCTCTGATCACTAGGGGCACCCTGTGCTCTCTGCGGAATACGGCCGGGGCCGCTGACCCTGGCGGGAGTTCACTGGACACTGTGCATCTGGTGGGAGAGCCCTGGAGTTGGCTCTGGCCGCCCACACCTCATGGGGCTGCTGCAGTACCTGACGGGGCCGGGGTCACCAGCACATCGGTGGGGGCGGTCACTTGCTCTTTTTCCCGGGCCTCCTGGATCCCCTGTCCAGGCAGTGGCGGCGTTGGTCTTCCTATGGCCTCTCCTGCGGAGGGGAGAGGGGCGGGGGGAGCGAGTGGGCCTCAGCCCCTTGACTGCCCGCTTTCCCACCCCCTGGACAACATCCCCTGCAGAGGTGCAGTGCCCTGTCTTCCTCCCTGCCCTCCGGTCCATCTGGCTCTGAGAACCAGGGGTGGAGCCTAGGGCGCGGGTCATCCCCCCTGCCTCTTAGTCTCCTGAAACTTAACCTGGCCCCAAACAGAGTCAGAGAATCTGAGAGCCCTGACGGGGCTCAGAGCACATCTGGTCTCCCAGCTCCACTCCGCAGGGAAGGAGGTGGAAGCTCGTGGGAATGGCCACTTGTCCAAGGCTGCTAGCTTGCTGGGGCTGGAGCCGAAGCCCGGGTCTCCTGACTCCTACTTCAGCACTCTCCTTCTGTCTGCAGAGTTCTTTACAGTTTACAGAGCTCTGCCTCGACCACCAGTGTCTCATCTGCCTTAAGAGGCAGGCATTAGTGTCCACATCATAGTAGAGGAAGCCGAAGCCGACTTCTGAACAGTGCCCTGTCCCCAGCCCCAGGGACCGGCAAGCTGGGCTCTGTGGAGCTCTAACCATTTCCTGAGGGGAGACAGGCTGGGGGCAGGGCTCTGGGTACCTGACCCGCCCCTGCTTCAGCCAGCCCTTCCTCTTTGGTCTTGTTTATTTGCTGACCAGCACCATGAAGGGCAGAAAGAGTGCTGTGGCTGTGGAGGTATTTGTAAGGCATCGCGGTGCCTTTCACTGACCTATAACACCTTCGGTATACAGAGCTCCCAGGAAAACTGATCACACGTCACATCATCCGCAACCTCAGCTGATCTGAGCCTGTGCACCAGCTCCCGGGTACTATCTCCACTCCTAGATTAAGGTCTCTCCTTCCCTCCCTTTGTTTGCTGGGCACCACTAGGAGGAGGCACTCACCTGGGACCCAGGCAGATAGCTGGGTAACACTGGTTGTGACCTGCACAGAAACGGGAGGAGGTCACTGTTGGCTTCCCTGTCACCCCCATGATGTGCTTCCTTCCTCCACACTCACCCCTGCCTCCAGGCTCCCCGTCCAACTAACTCCCTCGTTCAGTCTTTCATTCATTCCAGGTGTTGATGAGTTCTTACTACACCCTGGCATTCTGCCAGGCACTTTATGTCTACTGTCTTAATGAATCTTCTCAACTATCCTCTGGTAGAAGGCTGTGATGATCAAATGAACCGATGTACGTAATGTGCCAGCTCAGTGTTATAGCAACAAGTATCGTGTCAGTGCTATGATCTCCACATCTCAGACAGAGCAACAGAAGCTTTAGAGGTTAACTGGTCTACTGAGGGTCACCGGGCCAGTGTGGTGAAGCTGGGACCCCAGGCCACACCTGGTGTCCCTCACCATAGCCCATGGACAGAGGTAGATGAGCTGTGGGAAGCCGGGGAAAGAAAAATGGGCAGGGGATGGCAGAGGGCCAGGAGCATGGCTGGGGCTAGGAGGACACAGAACTTTGGTCTGGGGGACAATGCATGCTTCTCCGCGAAGAGAAGACGCTCCCTGGGGAAACAATATTTGGGGAGAGTCAGGGATGCAGGCTGGAGGGGCAAGGAATAGGGTAGGGACTGGCAGACTGGTGAGGGAGGACACTCAGTTCTTTACAGGGAATCCTGGGCTCAGGAGAGGGGGTGGGCTCCCCTTTCTCAGTGAAGTGGTTTGAGGCTATTCACAGCTCTGCTTCTGTTTCCCCACGAGCCACTCACAGAGACCTGACGCCTTAAGCAAGTCAGGCTCAGAAAGTGCTGAATCCGGAATTAATCTGGAACCAGTTCTAGACCTCATCTGCTGTGAGGAAAGCCTGAGTGACAGCCAGGACTAACAGGACACGTTCCTACTGCCTTTCTGAAGGGGGCCCCAGAGCTTCCCGAATAAGAGTACTTGCACAGCAGCTGCTGGAAAAACAGGAGCTGTTGTTATTACTTCCTTTAGGGTAAAACTGGGTCTTTGGATCAACTCTCTCACCGTGGCTTCTCTGCAATTAAAATCCTACGTACACTTCATCTTTCTCCCCTCCCTCCCTCATGGGACGCTGCCCTGTGGCCTCAGTGCTACCAGGTCCTGCTCTCTGCCACCCTTGCGCGACTTGCTGGTGGGAGGACTCGCTTACCTGGCCAGCCTGAGAGTCACCTGGGAAGGAAAGGTGAGAGCGTGAGCTCAGGGAAGAGAGTCTGGCTGCCTTCTCCCTCCCACCCACGGCCAGGGCTGGTTCAGTCCGCGACCTCCTGACCTTGTCCCCAGCAGGCTCAGTGGTAGAGAGAGCCCAGACTCTTCTTACCTGCCTCTGCCCCTGCCACCCTTCTGGCACTGGCCAGCCCAGATCCCAGAATCCCAGGTCTGGAAGGTCTACAAAGCGGTCAGTTGGTGAGAGGAAACCTCCGGGGTTCCTTTGATGCCCCCGGTGACAGGAGTCCCACCCGCTCCAAGCCAGTCCACCCCATGGGTGGACTGCCACCCCATCCTCGCTGTAACCCTCCTTGCACTGCCACCTCCTCCCTCCCGACCACATCGGGTCACTCCGCCCCTGCCCCAGGCTACAGGCCAGGGCAACCGTTCTAGGAAGGGGAGGAGTTGCTCCTGGCCTGGCCAGTGTCTGGTTACCATGATGACTGGGGCTCTGCCTGACTTCCGTGTGTGTCTGTTCCCAGTTCCTGGAGCACTTTGGCCGTCACTTAGCTCTCCTGGTCCTAATATGTCCTGGGCCTCCTGCACTCTGTGCTACCAGTAACGTGGGCTTGTCTTCTGCATGGCTTCCCAGGGCACCTGCCAGGGGTGCCTCGAGCCCAGTCTCTTTCTAGCCCCACGCCTCCTGGGCCCAAGGGGATTGAGCTGGAGCCAGTGCTCTGACTCTAAGGCCACGGGAGGGGATCTAAAGCCCCCAGATTCCCCAGGATCCACCTGCTGACTCTTCAGGCTTGGCAGCAAGCACCAGCCCCAGAAGCTGCATGGCCGGGGGCAAGGGACGGAAAGGCCTGGTCAGCTGGAGTGGAGGATGCGGTGGACTTCTCCCACCCCCACCAGCTCCCTGGGACATGGGTGCCTCTTGACCCTATATAGGAGAAAGAGGAGGTGAGGCCATGTCATCAGGCCAGGCCATGAGAGCAGGTTCCCAGGGCTGTGCTGCTGCTCTGAACTCCTTTTTCTAATGCCCCAGAGATGGAATGCCATGGGTCCAGTGGCTCTTTGAGGTGCTATAACCCGAGGGGAGGGGGAATCTCTCCGACATCTTCCTCAACCCAGATACCTTTGTCAGGGATGGTCCCGGCCTCCAGCCAGGTGCCGGTGGCCTCCCGGAGTGGCTGCCTCTCTGCTGGTCTGGGCAGGGTCCCATTGCTCTTCTGCCCCTGTTGCCTCGAGGGCCTGGTCAGTTCCTCCTCCTCGGCTTTCCTCATGGACAGACGGATGTCTGAGCTTGAGTAGGTGTAGCCGTGGCCGGCAGGGCAGATCTCCCTGAAGGCCTCTGCAAGTTCAACAGTCAGAGGACAAGCTGAGGGATGCTGTTCCTGCAGGAACCCAGGGCCCTCCTTTTCCTGCCTTTTGAGGGACAGGGCAATTGTGGCAGCAAGGAGGGAGGGGCCCCAGGTTGGGTTAAGGAGTTGAACAGGAAGGAAAATTAAGAGTCTTCTGGCCTGATGTTAGGTCAGGTAGGGGAAACTGGCCACTGGCTTGGAGGAAGCCCTTCGGTGGCTGGGGCTGAGATGGGGACAGAGGGTTACCTGTGCCAGGCAGGGGGCACTTCTCACACTTGCTGCCCCAGGCTTTGCCCACTCGGCTGCAGCAGCATATCTGCTTGGTGATCTGCTGGGCCAAAGGCAGGGTGCAGGTGCCGGGCCCCAGCAACCGGTAGCACAGCCCCTGCTGCATGGAGACGGCCTTGTCCGCTGCAACAGACACGGCAGGTGGGGATGGGCAGGTGGCCAGCGGGAGGGGAAAGGCAGTGGGTGGAGGAGTGATCAGCCACGTGCGTTCAGATTGGCTTGGCCTGCATCTCAATGTAGAAGTTGGGGCCCTGAAAATGCTCACGGAACATTAGGAAGAGTAGCTGTAGGAATGTTTTTAGCACCTCCTCATGTTATCTGTTTGAGGCGACCCTTGACTCTCACCCTCATGTGGGGAAGCTAAGAGCAGGAAATGTGGATGTCTCTGCTTGTCTCCAGATTCTGAGGCTATACGTGTTTACAAAAGCCCATCCTGGGGAGCACGAGGGAGGAGCAGTGTGCTCTGAGGGCCACAGTCTCCCTGGGGAGATGAGACAAGGTGAGAACCACAGGCCTGATGGGGAGCTTTGAGGACCAGGCCCTGTCTTGGTCGTCTTTGCAGCCCAGACACCCTGGGCAATGTCTGGTGCATGTAGATACTCAGTAAATGCTCGCTAGATTGATGGCTGGCTGGCTGGATCCATGAATCAAAATCCCATGGGCTGCAGTGAGTGTAAGCCACGCTGGGTTTAGAAAATAACACCACCAAGGGCCATCTCTGCCTCCCTGCATGAAGGGTCTCTTTCCAGAACTAATAAATAAGTCACCATGAACTCTTCCTGAGAGTGGCCAGATGGGTTCTCCCCATTCTGGGTCCCCTCATTCTCTGCTGTCCCTTTAAGGCTCTTACTATCTAAGGCTCTTACTACCTCCTTGCCCTGGGGTTGCTGGGTCCAGTCTTTCCCTCACATGGGTGCTCCCTCTGGGTGGTGCTGGAATCTGTTCATCTTGGGGCCTCCCCAGACCCAGTACCTGGCGGTTCACAAACTGAGGGCTTGGCTGGCCACAGGGAGCCCTGCCGAGCCTTGGGTGGCCCACCTGACCTGGGTGGCTACTTTGCAGAGGCCAGTCGGGACTGGTTTTATTCAGTACTGGTCAGGCCTCCCTGGTCTGGCTGTGCCATCAGCTCTGCCATGGGGAGTGGTGGGTGGAGGGGGGCATTGCCAGCCTGAGCCTCTCCCAGCTGGAAACCACAGAGGTCACTGGAAACAGCTGCCTGGGTGTTCACACATGCACACACATGGACACGATGCTGATACGACTAGTGACACGTACGCGCTCATGGACACACGGGGACCACAGGATTACGGAAAGGCCCCGGGGCCGGCAGCAGTGCCGCTCCTGCTATGGGCAGGCTCCTTAAGAAAGGTCTGCAGTGAAAGGACCAGGCTGCTAAGCTCAGGCACTGGAAGAGGCAGCCACAGCTCAGCCAGACATCACAGCAGGGGCAACCACATCCTCCCAAAGCAGATGAGGCAACAGATGGGACAGTAATGATGAGAGAAAAAACAGAGGAGGTAGAAAATCCCAAACGGCAAAGCCCTCAAAGAAATACATAAAGAAAACAGAGAAGCAGTGACTGTCTCCATCCCAGCAGGATGAGGGATCAGGTTTGGTACTTGGGGCCCAGTTCCAGGTGGAGGAGCAGCCCCTGGACCCTGCGATAGGGTCTAGGGGCACTTCTGCTCTCAGTCTGGCCCATGGACCTTGAGGGTCCCATCTCGCCTCTCAGCGTCCCCACCCTGGGTCCCACCTGCACTCACACACACAGCGACTCCTGGACGGATCCAGCAGGAGGCCAGGTCTGCAGGTGCACAGGTAGCTGCCCCTGGTGTTCACGCAATCCGAGTCCTCGCACAGGCCCAGGGTCAGGCACTCGTTGATATCTGCAGGGTTGGCGGAGATGACCAAGCGCCCCCCGACCCAGGCCTGATGGAGGGGAGGGGTCGGGGCAGAGTTCTCCTATGATTCTCCAAATAGAAGGACAGCAATAAGAGAGCTGCCATTTACTAAGTGTGATCCCTCTCTCTGGGCCTCAGTTTCTCATTTGTAAAGTGGGGATAATAATAGTAACGACGATGTAGTCCTGTTAGGGGGATAAAATGAGATAAAAATTGCAAATCGCTGGGTCCAGGAACTGGTAATAATGGTCATAATATTAAGAGCTAATGTTTATTGAGTGCCTCGTGCCAGGTAGTATGCCAGGTGGATTGCATAAGATACCTTATTTAATTCTCACAGTTTTATCAAGTAGGTCCACACGGCCTTATTTTATAAGTGAGGAAACTGAGGCTCCAGGAGTAACTTGCCCAAAGTCAGTCAACTAGTAAGCGGCATCCTGGGACGTAACAGGGGGAGTAGATGAGGGCAGAGTTTGAGTTGGAGGGTGGAGAACAGGCTACCCAGTCCCTCCTATTCAGTCTTCCTTGAGAGACCCTGAAGCATCTCTGTGGGACCCAAGATCCAGGGACCATGTCCACAGTGAGAAGCTGCAGCATGGAGGGGCCCCGGCAAGGAAGAGGAGGCGGGAGGATGGAGGCAGGTGCTGCGAGGTGGAGCAGAGGTTTAAGAGGACAGGGGAAATCACAATGCTCACACTCTGAGCTCCAAGAAGTCAAGGGTCCTCTTAGCGATGGCACCTTTGCTGATGATGGTGAGCATGGAAGATTTGTGATGGCCGCCCACCTCCAGTGCCAGGAGATAACACATGGCAACCCAGTGTCATCAGAGCCGCCTGCTCATTCACAGGCTTTGGGGAAATTGGCACTGAGTACAGGAATAAAGGGGCTGAAGGATGACTGAGCTTGGGCACCAAGGGGAGCTACTGCTTAGCAGGATGTTCTATTGGGAGGGAGAGCTGGGAAGGGGAACTGATCCGTTTGCCTCCAGTCTATGGCCAGAGTGATGTCTAAACTCAAATCTGACTTGCCTCCTGTCTGCTTGAGAAGCTTCTGGGCTCCCCATCACCTCCTAGAGGGAGCTTCTAAACCCTCACCTGGTATCCAATGCCCTCCACCATTTTCCAAAAGCCTGTGGGTGGGCCGGTGGCTCTGATGAGACCCTGGGATGCGCTTGTTATCTCCTGTGGGTGCACTGGCTGTACTCCAGCCAGCCCAAACTGCTCCTTTGCTCATACTCGTCCCTCGGCCTGGAATGCCCGCATCCCCTTCTAGCTGGCCAACTCCATTCATTTTTTAAGTCTAGGTCAGGTATCACCTGAAACCTTCCCTGATCCTCCAGTCTGGGAAAGGGCCCCACCATAGGATCCCATAGCACCCAGTGCCTCTTTCTCTCGAGAGCACTTCTCTCATAGTGTGTAACTGTTAAGGCATCTGTCTTCACCCGGGGCAGCGGCTGTGTCTCCTCCATCACTGTAAACTAACACCTAGCGCAGTGTATGCAGCTCATAGCAATACCCCAAAATTAGCCTGTGGAAGTAGGAGAGAAGGATGGAGAGAGGGGGGTGGCGCCTGCAGGCGCAGAGATGAGCGGGTCCCATCCCAGCCAGGGAGACCACAGCCACAGACATGGGAAGGGGGAGGTTTCAGGGGCAGGGCCTCCTGCGGAGGGCACCTTGGCATCCTGAATTCTGTGGGCTTGGTGGAGGAGGGGCAGAGAGCACACTTGAGATCCTGCGAATAACTTTAACACTGCAGACTAGGAAACCTGCCAGGCAGAGAGGCCACTGAGGACAGTTTAGATGTGAGCAGCCCCATTGTGCTGTCTAAGGGCAAAAATACCAACTTCTCTCCACACCCACTGTCCGTGAGGTCCTTGCCTCATTGCCCTGGAGAGAGGCTAAGCCTGGGCTCGGCGGGGTCAGAGGTCTTCCCTTTTGCCCAGTCCAAGCACCTGTTCTTATCCATGGGCCAGAAATCCCCACAGGCAGATAGCTCAGCTGCCCCAGACTCCTCTCTCCTGAAGCCTCCACGGGGAGGGCACCTAGGAGACCATCTGAGTCAATCCCCTGTCTCTAACCTAGCTTCAAGCAAAGCGAACTGCACAGACAGCGATCTGTCCAGTTCCCAAAGCTCTCCAAAGGGGCAACTGCCTCAACCCCAGGAGCCTCCCACTGGCTGGAAGGCCCAGCTCATATCTCACCTATTGCCAGGTCCACAGCCAACAAGGGCTCCCTGCTCAGAGCCATGGCTGAGCCCCCCGTTGCCCACTCTTCTGTCCCGAGGTGCCCCTGGGCCTTGCCCCTCTGGGGGCCTCTAATGCAGAGCACCTGGGCTTCAGCTGGCCTTACAGAGCCTACCAGCCAGGCCAGCAAGGCCAGGGACTGTGCTTTATGGTCCCCCTCCCCGACTCCCCCCCATCCCCTCCACCTGTGCCCTCCCTGCTCCCGGCTGCGGGAAGGAGGCCTGAGCAGCTGAGGTGTTTCGCTGGGAAGAGTCCCTAGTGGTGTCCACCAACTCAGACTGACTTGATCTCCCACCCTGGAGTCAAAAGTCTTCCCATTCCAGGGAGAGCAGCCCAGGAGGTGAGTGGATGTGTGGGGACCGTGGCGCACCTTGAGACACAGCACAACACAGCCCTACAGAGTCACACACCCAGATCTGGGTGGGGTTGGGTAGAGATGGGGAGGAGGGGAGGGCTTGGCTCCCAGGTGCTTTCTCAGCTTGCACCATCACTATCCTCTGACTTCCTTGGGCCCCTGGAAGCAGTAGCCCCCATAGCTCTCCCAAGCTGGGGCTTAGAGGTGCCCAGTGGAGACCACACAGACAGTGGCAGCTGCTCCTTCTATCTGGGGATGTGGGTGTCTCCCCGCATCATCAAGCCTCTGTTATTTCTGCTCCCCAAGCCCAGCCCTGCCCCTGGTTATTCTTACCTTGGCAGTGAGTGAGGTTCAGTCTCTTGTACCCCTGGGGACACTCCAGCTGGCCATTTTCAATCATTGGGGAGGCTAAGGATTGAAGATACAGACAGGTTTCACTGGAGGGCCCTTGGGCTCCTCTGTCACCCATGCTGGGAAGTGGGATGCAGTCTGGATGTCCAGCCCACTCTGCAGCTGTGAGGCCCCATCCCCCCAAGCCATTGCCCTGGGTAGCTGCACCTCCTTAGCCGAAATCCCTTCCCTGGCTCTCACCAGGCTACTCTCAGCCCACCTTGCTATTACTAAAAATGATACCTAGTGACTATATATCTTGTATATATAGTTATAATAATATAGTCATATAGTTATTAGATACAGTATATATTATATGATATCAATGTTATACAATATAACATGTGATTGAACAAATTTGTGGTTTTTTTTTTTTTTTTTACTTTTTGTTTTTGAAGTAATTATGGATTTGCAGGAAGTTGCAAAAAATAGTACAGTGAGGTCCTGTGCATCCATCACCCACTTTCTCCCAATGGCTGCATCTTACACAACTCTAGTTGTTTTGTTAGTTTTTAAACATCTGAATATGACAATTCACAGTCTGGTTCTAAGTTCAGTTTATTCTGATACTTGGTTTGAATGCCACCCTAGCTGACAAAGCCCCCCGATCCTGGGAGAAGCTCACCGTTGATTGCACTTATAAATCCATGATATCCATTCATTCACATTCACCAACCATGGGATGCTGTTGTTGAAATTTGGTTAGTAGATTTTCATGTTCCCTGAGGTCAGTTAGTTGTTTTCACAAATTCAAAAACAGTTAGAAAATCCCAGTTCTTGAGTTTTTCAAGTATGCAAGTGGAGAGGATTTATAGCAGCAAATTATAGGATGATGGAATTTTTTCCAAACATTCATTTTCAAAAGGCTCTGTCCCACCACAACTTCCTTGAAAAGCAGCCCCGCTTAAAGTTTATAACAAAACTGGGCAGTGGTCTGAGTCCAGATGGGCCAATAAGGCAATCACTGTCAGTATTTTGGTGCTAATACATGTCCTATCTTGATTTCACACCATTCCTCTTACTTTAAAGAGAGAGAGAGAGAGAGAGAAAGTATGCTTAAAAACAAAAACAAACAAAGAAACAAAAACAACTGACATTCAGTAAAAACAGGGACAACATCTCCACTACCTTGGAGGGACAGACTCGTATGTCAACCTCCAAAGAAGTGCTTGGAAGGTGTTTTTTTTTTTTCTGAAGATGTTTTTTCTTGAAAAGTGCTAGCAGGTAGTATACTATTGACAGCTACCTGTGATCACAGAAAAAGGCAGCAAATGTGGACCCCACCCATCTTTCTGTTTAAAAAAAATGAAGGACTGCTTTTTCAGTTTGATGATTCCTTTGCCGAGACATAGCCAGTAATTCTCAAGGGCCACAGGCATTTCCACAGACACTATTCCAATATGAAGCTCCGTAAAGCTACCTTTATACTTTAAAGGTCTTGTTTTATGAAGTTAACCGCATGATGACTTCCTGTGACAGCTTGTCTTCTCCCAGCTTTGACTTCTTTGTGGCAATACCTTGCCTTTGAAGGGTACGGGGAGGGGACTTTCCAGTTAGCACTCCCCAGCTCCATTGGCTTGCTGGTCCTAACATCAGCCGCTGTACTTATAGAGTTATTGGGTAAACCTTATTTTTATTCAAGAAGTCATTTACTGTTGAGAATATAGGTCTTCTATCTTCCATATAGGTTCAACCTTTGGTGGCTTATGCAATAGATAGTTCTTCATATATTTTATTGCTGAAATAGATTTTGCAAATACCAAGAGACATGTTAATAATACCTATACCCTCATCCAGTTATACAGCAAAATGTGAGTGTCTCAGTGTTTGAAAATGTTTTCTTTTTTTTTTTTGAACATTTATTTGTTTATTTATTTGGCTGCATCGGGTCTTAGTTGGGGCACATGGGATCTTTGTTGCCACGTGCGAGATATTCGTTGTGGCATGCAGGATCTTTAGTTGTGGCATTCATGTGGGATCCACTTCCCTGACCAGGGATCGAACCTGGGCCCCCTGCATTGGAAGCGGAGTCTTAGCCACTGGACCGCCAGGGAAGTTTCTAAACTGTTTTTCTAATCAAGATAGCTTTTACTCTATCATTAGCTGTTATCTCTGGTTACATTATACACTGAAGGCAAAGTCTGGTATTAACGATAGTAGATATAAGCTGTATTTTTTTTTTTTTAAGCTGTATTTTATATAGGCTTCTTGATCATTTGACTCCTGGGGTCCATTCTGGGTCCCATCTGAGAGGTCATCATTATTTTTACCTTGGAATATGGCCGATTACGTGTCAGAGGAGAAGTGTCAGCATTGCATTTTTTTTTTTTTTTTTTTTG